TCAGACACTTGGACTAGATATCTCGGCAGAAGACGGAAAACATTAAAGAAATTGTCACTGCTAATTATTTCATGTTTGAAATCATTCATGGCCAGCCATAGTGCCATTTATTATTTTCTTGGAAACAAACCATTCTGAATAATACGTATAGTTGTGAATAATTGATGGTCATATTTTTTAAGTGACAAAAATTAATAAAGATGGATTTATTTCGAACTTTCTCCATGAGTTATTTTTTACTTGATGATTTATCATTTATTCTAGAAAAGTGGCGATAAGTATTTTTATTTATCAAAACTGGGTACGACCATAATGACACCTTGTTAAATTTCTGAACCATGTGTTGAGCGAAAATGGACTAATCCTATACTTTAGAGTTAAGTATAATCTTAAGAAACTGCATAATATTGTATATTCATAATTTTAATGGATTATGTCTTTAGTCACAAAGTCATTGAAGGAACGATTAGCTTAGTAATCAGATTTGAAACTTTTTACAGTTGAATGATCTCGTGGTGTAAAACTTTAAGTACATCAACAACATCATGTTCTGGATATTGAAAGAGATTGCAACAGCTTGCTTGACAACTTTACAGAAAACATGTATATTTTTGTAACATGTAGTTTTGCAGTGTTCTTTAAAATAATCTGATATATCTGACTAAGATTTATTTAAATTGAATGAAAAATTGACAAAAAAATAGAAAATAATGCACAGAAGATTAAAAAAATCATTCATCTTGATTTATAAGATCCAGTGAGAAAAGCAAATTTATTTTAAAAGACAAGAATTCAATAACAGTTTACAGAAGTAGCATGTTGAAAACATTGACTTTCTTGGTTGTTGATAGTGCTGAAGGTTTTAACACATGGAGACAGTAGATCTGGGGTCCTGTCCTGGGTAGTTGTGATGCTATGCAGAGAAAAAGCCTGGTAATGAGAAGCGACACCCAAGTCAGAGAAATCGTGTTGGATAGAAGCTATCTTGGCATCAAATCCAGATACTGTCTTGTAGCATGTCACAGAAAGTCAAAATATCTCTGCTTAACACCTGTCATTCAAAGCATACTGGGCCTTAGTAATACCCTTCAACCGTTCACCAAATACATGGTCTAAGTCTAATACACAGTGTTGCATTTTAAAAGCCCGTACGTTTCACAGGCGCAATAATTAAACCTCGAACGGTTTAACTATATAAGACTAACCGATACTACGAAAATTTAAATTTAAAATAAAATTATGAATTGTTTTGTAATTTATATATTTGCACTTTTGAAGATTTTTTTTCAATTGGAAAATATTTCGTACAAAATAAATAGACTGTTGTACTTTGTTTTACACCTACCAAACAGCTTTGTATCATGTTTATTGTTATATTTCACCTGCTCCCTTTATTACCTTATTTAGTGTTTCTTGTGCAATTCTTGATAAATTTCAATAATTATTTTAATCTTTTTGGTATATTGCAAAATATAACAATAATATCGAGTGTCTTCAGGGAAGGAAAACGAGCGATGCATTAAAGTGGGAACGGCGAATCAGGTGTTTTATTACAAAAAACAACAGCTATGGATTATGTCTTGCCACCGTTGATGACCTCAGAGATTATACTATGATTTTATTGGTTGTGAACCGATCATATGTGGAAATCCGATAGAACATATACCTTTGGGTCGTTATCACGATCTCTGGAAACCTCGGGCAACATCAGGTTTAGTCAGTGCTGTTTAGGTTACACAAGTGTGAGGCTGGGAAAAACAAAACATGTTCAAATCGAAAAACCTAACAACCCCGTCAGAATAGCTTGATCTAGAAGCGGGTGGAGATTGGGGTTAATGTGGGATTGAAGTTAAGAGAAGAATATGATGGAGAAAAAGATACATGAGGAAAAAAATCTATCGATTAAAAAATGGGAATGATTGTAAGCATGCATCCTTGCCAAACAATAATCTTTTATAATTGTAAAAGTTGGAGGAGAAAAATAAAATAACTTTAAGGCAATTTTTATGACTTCAATGAATCAATTCTCCATAACAAAAAGTAAAGGAAATATTGGAAAACTCTGCTTAGTTCAAAAGTTGATATATAATAGTGAAAAATAAAACTTCTCTCTCAAAATTGAGACATTTGGCAAGTATATAGGTAAATAGGTAAACCTGCTGAATGATGCAGGTTCAGAAACACATGCCCTGATATATTTGGAATGTGTCCTAGGTACACTACAAAAATACCATAATGTCGAAGCAAACATTATTTTCAAAGGTCAACAAACTTGTATTTCCACTTGTACCAGTCTTTATGACTAAATCTACCAATAAATACTCTTAGGAAATTATTTGGCACAAAAGCTATTTTTTCTGTCTTTTTTTTATCCCACATGTTCACAGAAACAGAAACCTACTGCAGAAATTGGCGGAGTGGTATGTTTGTCTTTATGACATCATCTATGGAGGGCAATCTAGCTTCCTATACAACATTTCCTCTATACCAAAATCACTTTCTTAATAAATTATTCTCCAGGTAGAGGTGTTTTTGTAAGCTGTGATTAGGTTTACAGTAACAGATTATAACTGATAACTAATTACATTCGAATTTTAAGCTTATTATAAAGTTCTAATCATGATCACCGCTGAAAGGCATCGGCTGTGGGTGAATGTATACTGATTGAATTCAAGACCACTCTTTTATCAATCAAAGGCATATTTGTTGTAAAATGAATTGAAATTGATATTCATAGAATTGGAACTAACTTGTTTACAAATCTATATACAATTCTGTAGTTAAGAAGAATTATGAATGATTTAAACTGTATACAGACATAAAGATGTGAAAATAAAACAAAATTTTGGGCATCATAAATAAATTGGGGGGAAAAAAGATTGTATCGTAAATGATGATAGACTTCGCAGCATACCTAATTTTCTTCTGATTGTTATATATGGAAAAGCACCATCAGAAAATGGGTTCAGAAACGAAAAAAATAAAGGATATTTTGAACAGGGATGATTTAGGTTGAACAAACGGAAATTGTAGTTATTGCCAGAGGAGTTGGCAATTGTTGGGAAAGATTTGAAAGCCTGAGATTATAAAACGCAATCCCTATTTTGCCTACAGGTTCAATTAACTTCAGGGGATGCAGAAGAACTTTATGTGTCAGATTACGTTTTTTCCCAATTAAGGTGTATGTCCGACTCCCACCGATGTTTTGATTTATTGAGTGAGGGAATTCACTTTAGAAAATTTGATTTTCAACAGCAGTTTATCGCCAAGTGTCTCTGCTTTTGTTTTTTCTTCACTGTTTCATGATAAAAAAAGATTCATTGTTGTCATATTAATTCTTGGTAATCCTCAGTATAAAAGGCACCTGTTGTTTTATAGTCCAAGCCATGCCAGCTGGTCTGACAATATCAGCAACGTGGGTAATTTAAAGAAAAGCACTTGGGTGTTCTTGTTCGCACTGTATCAAAATGTCACGATTTAGCACCATTTTCACAATTCATCTCAAAACATATCTGCTTTATGAAGCTGTGAATTTTCTAAATTTTTGTTTTGTCTCAAGTTAACTTGTGTTACATACACATGTTTTTTATGCATTTTCAATAGGAAAGGTGTGTTACAGTCAACTTAAATATTTACATATATTTAAATGAATTTAATGTTATCATAGAAGTCTGAAAGTGTTTCTTTTGAAATCTGTGTTTGATATTGTTCCGTCATAGACTGGGGTATTATTGGTTTTAGGTGGAGAAAGAAAGGCCCTAGGTCTGGTCTTAGCCTTCAAAGCATCTGTTTTGGCTCAGAATTGATCCGTCCATTGTGATTAATTAGATGAGATTTCTGGATCTAGGAATGTGTTTCTGACTGGGGGATTGTAGTGTATATAGATTTGATTCCACCACNCATCATTAACATGATGAGCCTCCCCCCTATCCCCTAAACCATCCAGGCATTATAGATTCGCCCAATTCACTCTCGCCAACATCATTAACATGATGAGCCTCACCCCTCTCCCCCAAACCATCCAGGTATTATAGATTCGCCCAATTCACTCTAGCCAACATCATTAACATGATGAGCCTCCCCCCTATCCCCTAAACCATCCAGGCATTATAGATTCGCCCAATTCACTCTCGCCAACATCATTAACATGATGAGCCTCACCCCTCTCCCCCAAACCATCCAGGTATTATAGATTTGCCCAATTCACTCTAGCCAACATCATTAACATGATGAGCCTCCCCCCTATCCCCTAAACCATCAAGGCATTATAGATTCGCCCAATTCACTCTAGCCATCATCATTAACATGATGAGCCTCCCCCTCTCCCCTAAACCATCCTGGCATTAAAGATTCGCCCAATTCACTCTAGCCATCATCATTAATGTGCTCCTGGGAATTCAACAGATTTACAGCCAAAAAAAATATCAAACATTTTCCGTTAGATGAAGAAAAAACGAGCCAATTAGGCTCATTGTGTTTCTTGATTAATTTTGGGCCAATTTTGCCCCTGGAGTTTTGGGGATAAGCTGTATGTATGCCTTGAAGGTAATTAGATGTCATTCCTTCAGCTTTTTCTCATTCAACTTTTTACTGCCAAGAGGGCAGATTAGTATAACCACAGCTTCAATATGCACTGGACATAAAGGTCAGACTCGGTCGTGTTTCAGTGACAGCCGCGTAGTACAGGTCCCCCAATAATCGGTATATTACGGTAGAGATAATGTACATATATGGACTGAGGGTCATGTCCTTGTTATTTCCATCAACAGAAGAGGATCAAAATTGATTTAAAACCTGTATAATCTGACATTGTTTAATTTGTAACAAAAAAAATATAATCTTACATTGTTTTCTTTTGTAAAAACCTGTATAATCTGACGTTTTGTTGATATATGTAAAAACCTGTGTAATCTGAAAAACATATGTAGAAGAACAGATAAGGAGGAATTGATAATATCAAAAACCAAATCTAATGAATCTTTTGTCTTTTATCATTTCAGGAAGTAGGCAGTATCATAGGAAAAGTGAGTATTGACTAGAATTTGAAATTGGCCTTTCACCCTTTCACCCCTATGTAACTTTAGTAGACTCTACCATGCATTGTTATGAATGAGTCCATTATGGTCTACAGTGGTGAAAGGGTTAAAGGAAAATCTATGATATAACTTTATTGTATATTGAAGAGATTCTATGCTAATGTTCCCTGCTTCCTTGCACGTTTTACCTGTAATTTGTGTTGTAGTTATCTCCCTTAGAACATTCAATGATGTAGTTATCTCCCTTAGAACATTCAATGATGATTTGATGATAATTTACTCATTATGAGTGATATCAGTGTTTTCTTTCTTAAGAACATTTAAATTGTCTTGTCAAATTATTAACTACAGTCAAATCTTTATTTGGAAGCTGAAAAATGGTCTCTTAAAAGAGATTGTCTCTAAATAAAGTATCAGAATAAAGATAAGCGTTGAAAGGAGATGACAAAATGGCGAGATTTTAATAGAGAAGATTGCAGAATGCAGGTGGTCTATTAAGCAGATCCTACTGATATCTAAATCACCACCGATAACAGATCATTAACAGGTGTTTTAGTGGGGAAGAATTCTTAATCTAAAGTCATAATTTAAAAAATGAATGTCTTTTGTTGGATAAAAATGGGATGAAATAATGTCTTGAAAATTTACTTTTGTTTTTTTGTTTTTTTGTATTGGGCAGTAACTTAGGAATCAGATATTATCATAGTATAAGATAATTATTAGACTTAGTGATTGTTTTCAAATAATAACTCATATGAATTCAAATATTTGATCTGACTGAGGTGATATGTATTTATATGAATCATGTATTTATTACTGTGTATTAGAATGTTTACATATTTATTTATTTTTGTCAATTTTCAGAAAGGAGATAACATTAAGAAGTTCAGGGAGGATGTAAGTATGACATTAAATATAATTTACAATAAAGATCGTTGTAATTAAAAATTTAGTGAGTAACTGTTAAATTTCACAGAAAATGTAAACAATATTTATTTATCAATGTATTCAAATTGTCATATCGTCACATACATGTATATAAGAAATAATGCATTTAATATTTAACAAAATAAAGAAAAACAATTCTGAGAATGTAAGTTGACTTTGAGAAAAAAAACATGTTCCTAAACAGTAGATGTATTTTGTGATCATAAAGTAAAACTTGTTTTTATTTTTTTGACAGAGTGGTGCTAAAATTAACATATCGGACGGGTCATGTCCTGAACGTATCGTTACGATTACTGGATCCACAGAATGCATTCACAAAGCATTCACAATGATCTGTAAAAAGTTCGAAGAGGTGAGCGGGGGCCCGTATCAAGTAGGTTATCTGTTTTGTTTTCCTTTTTACATTTCTTTTTACTTTACACAATGATATTTACAAAACCATTTGAAAACAGTTGTGCTTCTGGTGCAAATGTTTAAAAGCCTGGAAAAGGTTGGGCGATTGATTTAGCAGTGGTCGATATACACACCATTTAGTTTTAACTTCCGAACCAATCTTAACATGTCGAGATTGTAAGAATTTGTGTTTTTTTCTTTTCCCCTTTTTATTTGAGAGATTGATTATAAAGTCTATAAAGTAAATTTTTGTGTGATTTTTGTCCCTCACTAAATCATTTAAGATATATAAATATCCCTGCTTAAACGTTTTGCAATTTATTTGAATTGTCTGTGATATGGAGTTACTTCCCTTAGCATGAGTCCCTTTTCGATTGGAAAAAAGCTATCAGTACAATATGAATTATCAGAAAAATATAGCATTTCCTTCTTAATATTAAGGTGTTTATCTTTAAAATTAAGTTCAAAAATTAAAGTATAAATCCTTTCAGATTATATCCTACAATGTGGAATCCATATTGTCTTATCACTCCTCAAAACATTTCTAACACTCTAAATAAACTGAACTCAATTCAGCATGTGCATGGAAAACAATGACCTTGGTTATGGAAACTGCCTCAGGATAGATCAACATGGAATCTTTTTACTTTAAGGTTAATTAGAAACTTCCAATTCAGTGTTATAAAAAAAATGTTTTTCTAAGTTTAATATTTTTATATAAAAAGTGCTTTTTGGCAAATTTGATGGTTGTAAGATCTTAGTGTTAAGGAGAAAAAGGGTATTTTATTTCATCACCTTTTGGAGGGGTTTACTAAAAGTTTACTAATTGTTTTCATAAATGTGTTATTTCAATATTTTGGGAAGGTGTGTACAACTGCCATAATAGGTGATTTGTCTTTGTTTGGAAAATTTGAATCAATTGTTAAAAAAGTTTGCATGGAAAAGAAAGAAAAAATTAAAATTGTAATTTATAACAAAAAAAATGTGTATGGTCAACAATATCATTGTGTTAAGTAAAAAGAAATAATCTTTACTAGATTACAAATTTTAGAATTTCGTAATGAACAAGTTTTGTTGTAATTTTCTTATTATAGTAAACATGTAAAGCTAACCAATATCTTTATTTGAAGTGCGTTTAAATGAATGTTATAATAACAAAAGTGTCTTTGCTGCCTGTGCTTGAGTTTGGCATGTACTTGAACTCTGAAATTCATATTATTCAATTATCGTTTTTACCAAGAAATTTGCTATAATGTATGTGACTAAAATTTGGATTTTCAGGATCTTCAAAACACACCTACTGTGCCTAAACCCCCTGTAACATTACGATTGGTTGTGCCCGCAAGTCAATGTGGATCCCTTATTGGAAAAGGAGGCTCTAAAATCAAGGAAATCAGAGAAGTAAGTTGTCAAAAGAAAAAACAATTAAAAATGAATTTGAAATGTTTTTCCTTTTCAATGAGAAATACAATAAGGAATACAATACATAGGAAAAAATGTTGTGTTTATGTCCGTTGATGGTTCATATACAGGCACCTAAATGGAACCTTCTGATGTTCTTTCTGCAGACAGGTTGATCTAAAGCCCCATTATACTGTTGGTGACAGTAGTAAGGGTACATTGGCACTGGGTTTAAGCTAGTGAGGATCAAATCATGACATTTTTTTGGTCTCAACAAATGTACATCGAGACCTATAACTAGATAATCTGTCGTTCTACACTCATCTTCGTACCAAATTATTACCTTCCTCGTTCGTTTGCTTATCGATATGTTGCATGAGCTGTACTTTCTATACCCATGTGGTGCTCATAACCATGCCCAATTATGTAATTCCCGATCTAATTTGATGCGGCAAAGTGTTTGACTTTTTCCCATGCATAACTGTCAAAAGCTGACCCCGAGTGAAAAGTAAACGAGGCAATCTCATCTACCTGTATATTTGAAGTATAGAATCAGATTGGCATGGCCCAATGCCAAACCTGAAGCAGCTTGAGACATAGCGTTAAACACTTCTCCAGCTATCCTGTGTACATCTCTTATGAATTAGATGGATCCCAGTACCTGTTCCACTCCGCAAGCACTTGTAAAACATGCTGCCGTCCAATAAGGATTTCACGTCGTGAACACGATGCACAATCCCTGTACAGCTATTAACTGCTAAAAAAGTGCAAAATCTTTGCTATTCTGTAAGGGTTGTTTTTTGGCTGATTGTTATTAAAATATGTGATAACGAAATATCTCCTGAAATATTTAAAAAGATTTTCATCAATTAGAATGCTTATGCATTTTCCATGATGTTGGTCCGCTTTAAGAGTATAAGCAGGGAGCAGATATGAGGTATCAAACTAGACACCATAACGTCAGCCATCCTCTATTGCATCTCGTTAAAGCCATCCAGTGCTATTTCGTATAAACAGACAGGTGTATTAACAAATTGACTCCACAACTTCAGTCCGCGGTAGTAACGAGGAACGTACAATGCTGAAGGTTTACCCATTAAGCTGTCTGGCTGGCTATATTGGCATATTTCAAATGGGAGATAATTTATTTTGAAAGGTGGCATTACAGTAATATTTTGATATATGGTTCAGTTTACCGACCACTGGCATACAGTGATCTTTCTCAGCCTTATCAATGAGATGTGTGTTTTTCAGCCTTAGTATATTAGGAGCTGTGTATTCCTCATTCTCATCATTGAGTTGTGTATTGTTCAGCCATGTTGAGCTGTGTATTCCTCATTCTCATCATTGAGTTGTGTATTGTTCAGCCATGTTGAGCTATGTAGTCCTCAGCACCAACAATGGTGCATACAATCGTTGAATAGCTGAATTGTTGTGAACACATTGTAAGTCTAATGAAGTGATTTTTTGTAAAGATTCTCTGCTTGATCCGTTTACCCCTAAGGTTACATTTGAACCTTACCAAAATAAAGACTGGGCAAGTCCAGTTTAGATGTGTAGGGTTGAATGACTTCAGGTTTAAATAACTAAATTGCCTGCAATTGCTTTGCAATCCATCTCATAAAAATATTAACAACATACAGCTGTGTGTTTTTTTCTTTTTCTTTTCTTTTTACATGCCAGATTTGTTATGCGAATTTCAACATGCTTATTCCTGTATACATTATTACCTGAAAATTAAGACTTCTCCATGCTGCTGTCTCTTAAGATGTCGTCGTGTGATTACATTCGTTCCTGTCCCTTTGTGATTTCAGACAACAGGTGCTTCTATACAGGTGGCTTCAGAGATGTTACCCAACTCAACAGAGCGTGCTGTGACAGTGTCCGGTACTGCTGACGCCATCACACAGTGCATAAGAAATATTTGTAATATCATGTTGGAGGTAGGTTATATATGTAGGAATACCAGTGCACTACTGTACCCTTCACATTCACACTGGTGATAGCTTTAAAAACATTATAATCAGGATGGGTTGGGCGTTTCAGTATAGATTTGATTTATTTGTAAATGTAATCTTATCTTTTCTGTCACATGCTTTTCATATTGTGAAAGATTGAAAATCGGATGTCTGGAAAATGTTTTTAAAATTTCATATCGGTAAAGCTAAAATTGCAATATGTTTTTGTTTGAAAACCCCAAAACACCCATGTCAAAATGATTGACATCCCAATATTAACTCATTCACCCGTGAAACTCATTTGAACTCTTCCAATTCAACGGTTGGAATAGTTCATTATGAAATTTCCGGGGTGAATGAGTTAAATTCTCTGATGTGATTTATAAAACAAAGTACCTGATTATGTCTACCTTACATGTATTCGTACATACTTTTCGAACAGTGTTCTTTTTAGTGATTTTCATGCTTTCTCTTATGTATTAATTATAATATGGCGCTTTACAACACATGAATAATTGCATTCCTACAGTGACAGTTATAAATATAGCAGATAAAAACACGTATTTATGTTCATGGGCAGCAATAGAAGTTCATGTATTCTGAAGGAATGCTATACTTCCATTGCACCAATACATCAGCTGCAGTCTTGAACAATAAAATATGAATGTGATCATAGATAAGGTACAATATACTGTTTGTATTTAGACTGTATCAGAAATATGTTTGATAGTGTTTGTTATGTAAGACAAGGTCATATTCACTTAATTCCTACCACTACTCCTTATTAATGTGCAGTTTGGTATAAAAAATGTCTGGACATAAGAAATCTTGTAAATGAATAAAAAACAAAGCATAATTTTATATATATATATATATATATAGACAGAAGTAAGAGTTTTAATCCTGTACAAGTTCTGGGTGTGAGTTTCCCTTGCGATCAGAGAATGACGAGGTTCCTGTTTACTGATTAGATAATCAGGAAACTGTCCGATATAATTGTTGCTAAAAATATCCTCAAATATCCTCATTTATATGTCTTACATTGAAATAAAACACATTATTGCTTGAATTTGACTTGTGAGCGATATTTCAATAAGGAGAATGCAAAAAAAATGTGTAAAATAAATTCTAGATGACTCCTGTTATAACCTTTTAATTCTGCTTTTGGTACAACTAGACGAACTCATTATCTGTGTACGTATAGTGTAAACCCCAAATACATATACACCTTATATATCTACACCCTTTGTATTAAAATATATATATATATGTTATATAATCACAAGACATTAATTCTCATATAAATTTCTCAATTTTTCCAAATTTTTCCAGACGACATACCGAGGGCCTAATAATTATGCCTGTCTCCCATTGTCTCCATGGTTACTGCTTTTGTCCTTGACATCTACTAGTACTGTAGCCATACTTCCTGTCTATGTAACCTTTAACCTTTGGTATTTTCCATCCTCTTCCTCAACAGTCCCCCCCTAAGGGAGCTACCATCCAATACCGTCCAAAACCTGTTGTCCCTCCGGTAATCTTCGCAGGGGGTCAGGCATACACAGTACAACAAGGCCAGATCGGACTACAGGCACCAGAGGTAAGGCCAAGGGCATTCCCTAGTTACTTCCCCTGATGTAACCTGTGTTTCATTTATCTACATGTGTTTGTGATGTTTTGTGTTGATGTGGGCGTTTTATTGCAAGATGATTCCCTCAGATTGAGGAAAAGTTTTTAGTCAAAATTGAGAGGAATTTGCACAAGATGATATCAACTTTAAAGGAAGATTAATTGTGGAAGGGGGAGGGAAGTCTGATACAGAAATACTGTGTCACCTACAAATTATGTATCTGCATTTATTGTATAGAAATTGCTATTGGATCGGAAATCATTGTTGTAATTTTGAAACGGAATCATCTTGTATTGTTACCTCTTACCCTGTTTTGTCTTGCTTCTTGTCCCCGAGAACCAGGCCAATATCTGGAAATTATCTTTTTCTGTGCTTGTCTGTGACTGACATCCACAGAAATATTTGAAAAAGAGACATAATATCTATTTATAATTATTACAAAAAATTTAAATACAAAGAAATATTATGTCATTAATAGATTTCTTGAATTTATGTACAGGACATAAATAATATTTTTTATCAGTTTGTTCTCTTACTTTTTGGCCTGGTTCCTCCATTCTCCCCTTTGTGAGCTTTGTTTTGTCTAACGTATACCTGTCAACCCAAATGAAGGTGAATTTGTTTTCACCACTGAGGAACACCAAATCCCTGGCTTAAGGAAGCATTAACCAGCATGACAGGGAAAATGAGTTATCTTCCCCTGCCATAGACATCAGGGAAATAGACAGATCATCAGATGACTGTTTGTAATACATATCTATAAGGTGTCATTCACATGCAGAATATTTTTGAAAACTTTTTAAGAGGACTTGTAGTACAGGATAAATTAGCTGTGCTAACTAGTCAATTCTTATGCATGTATTTTGTGTTCAAATTTGAATTAATCTCTTTTACTACTGGAATGACCAGAGTGATGTGAAGAGTGTGTATTGTGAAATGTCTAATTCATCTAAATCTCTTTTTGTTCATCAGTTTTATGAAAAGAAAAATGCAAAATAACAAAATGGATTTGGTCATTGTATTTGTTACTGGATTGATCATTTTGATCTACCTACAATTGGATTGGTATGATTGTTCCTGACCTTACCCATCAACACGATTAAATTTATACCAACTAGAGACGTGACCCTGGAAGGTTACGCTTGTTGAACTAAATTGAGTAGGGTAAATAATTATATTGGGAAGTGTATAACAACAGGATGATCTATACAAATGATTGTTGGACTTTTCACAGCATCATGACAGAATACCACCCTTTGTTTCATTCAGTTTAAAATGAGAAATAGAATATCAAACTCAGGTTATCAGTTGTGGTAGAGAAGCTAGATTGTTGTATTATGATGATTTAAGGATCTCTGTCCCACTGCACTGTGGTTTTCCCTATATACAGTTATCTCCCCTTAACCTCCGTTTGGACATAACTGTAGAGCAATTGGTCCAGGACACTTTCATCAACCGGAGAGCTCAAGCAGTTACAGTGATAGATAGTTCAGGGTTCGAATCCGGGACTAGCCCCTCTGTGGTTCTCTATCACTCGGAACACAGTTGTTGATTACAGTTTATGTCTTCCTCATTATTTCTCATAAAGTGCCGCCAGGTATGGCTTTCTGTTCAGAATTGATTTATCAAAGCTTTAGTCATGCCAGAAAAAAACAGTTTTCAATACTTACAGTTTATGGCAGTGGTACTAGGATCCTTTATTATAAAATACTTGATTTTTTTATTTTGTTTTACAAATATAGCCTCTTTAACATATCTTCATCATCATTGTATGTTGTATGTTTATGTTCTGCCTGCTTTTTGTCATTACAGTAATTAAGTCAAATTTTTCATCTACAAAATGGGCTCGGTTAATCAAATATCTTACTGTGAATTAAATGTGGCAGGATGACGTTTGAAGCTATCTACTTATGCCATACAAATCCCATCCATAATGTGCAGTTTTGGTCCACATTTGTAATGGAACTTCACTCTAAACATTGAACTTTTCAAATTATAAAAACAGTTAAAAGATTAAGGAAGTATTCGTTGAAAGTCTAGGTTACTTAAATCCGTCTTGTTCTTGATAGTTTCGGCAAGTTCCTGAACATGCGGAGTCACACAGTCAGGTAATATAAATTGCCAGACAATTTTCTATAACAAGCATTATGATGCTACTGTAGTTCCTGGGTACTCAGTAGCTAGTACTACGGGCATTATGTAACCTTTGAGCTTTGTTCTGTTCTGTTTGAAGAAACTTTCTCTGTTAAGGTTTTGGAGCACTCTTCCTTTCTTTGATAATAACGTAGTTCTCTTTACTAACAATACCTAGAGTTGTCTGCACAGAGCTGTACACTCGCAGGTAAAAATCCACATTTCTGCTATTTATCCTGCACCTAATTTATAACCATTTCCTGTTTTGATTACATATTAACTGTTGTTCATTATACCATTGTATATTAAAACTTAGATTAAGTCACAGAAACGTATAATCATTTCATTTACCTGTTTGGTTTGAAAATTATTGATTTTTCCCACCAAGAATTATATTCAGATACATTATCTATTGATATCTTAAGGGGGGGGGGGGTTAATTTACATATAAATAAATTAAAAAAAAAAGCAGTCATTTCCCTTTGATCAAATTGATGTCCTGAAAAATTTAAATAAACAAGTATTGCAAACAATTGTTAGATTTCAATTAACTGTAGATTTAGAAATTCATCTGTGGTCTGTTTCCTTTCATTTCACATGTTACAAATTTTCCTTTTAGATTACTCAACAATCTCAATATAATAAGGTAAATGTCTCATATATATATACCTATATATATACTCCAGTGTATTTAGATATTGTATCTCTCTATAACCATAGACATATCCAGCCATTTCCTGATCGTTTTGTACTACTTCAAACATGGCCAACTTTGACAAAGTGCACGTTTTCCTGTTTTAAATGAGATTTTCCTGTATTGCTAAACATTCTGTTGTACTTGTGTTATCTAGATCTTCTTCAGGACATAATACAAATGGAGTAATGAAATTCCAAATGCATATTAAAATTTGCCAATCTTTGAGCATAATTTTTGGAGAATATTTATGCTTTTAAAATTACAGTAAGTTCTGACATTGAAAATTAGCATCTCGAAAATTGTGTCAAATTTCAGCCATTTAGATTTTTCGAAATGTATCACTAGATTAGTATTGCTTCTAGACCACTCAGCTGATTGTAGATTACCGTGGTAACAGTTTGTTGTGTCTTTACCTTCATATACTAATGAACTAAGGTATATGTATTAACATCATGACCAGACAGAACCATTCATTGTTGCATGATGCCTGATGTGAAGACACCTGTGAAAATCATCGGAACACTACACATGTCGTCCTTAAGGATTTAGATCGAATATTTTGTACATGAAATTTTTCATGTACAAAATATTCCGTCGCCACCTGGCCATCCAATTAGCTAACTACTGTAGACGATGATAACTTTTCCTTTTAAAGGAAAAGTAGCTGTGTTTTCTTCCGCCCAAATTCACACGAAAGCTAGACACATGTTTTTCATTTGCAATCCTTACCTAGGATATATGTTTGAAATGACCACTCTCGCTGACCCCTAGTTTGGGTCTTTGGAAACTTTGTTTTCTGCGACATTGTCTAGAACATCTAACTAATTTATTATAACAATCATAATTTCATCAGAAATGTTTTCACATTTTTTACCTATACCCATACCTATACAGTATTCTCTTCATTGTCCTTATTTGTATATTGACAAGTTAATCATACTTCTGGAATTTTGTTTAGATTTACTTTATCCATACAGATAACATTTTCAAATAAAATTCAATTTTAAGTTAAAAAGAAGACTTCCTTTGATCATATATCCAAACAAAATATCATTTAAAATTTGAAAATTTCCCTTGATCAAATATTCCAATGAAAAGTTGTTAGGATTTTGAAAACTTGTCAGACAAACTGACTAGTCTTGGTCAGTTGGTCAGTTATGGCTGCAGCCATTCCACGGTGTTGTGGTACTGACCACATACTAACCACCCACCTTGCATGTTTGTCTCTGTTTCATACAGTCACTGGGTGGGCTAGCTTTGTTAAGCATTTGTGCATGCAGATAATTGTATTGTACTGAAAATATCAAACGACACTGTGATATTGTATTCAAAATATATAATCACACTAATAATGTATTGTCAATCACTGTTACGCTGTTGCTGATGCTGTTAGTTTCAGAATCTAAATGTACTTACCATGTCTGATGAGAATTCATCACTGAAAACATAAGTGTGTCGACATATACAGTAAAACCTGTCTAATCTGACCCCTGAGTCTTCTGACCTGTGTTCTCAGACAACTGGCTGTAATCCCATATCTCACGGTAACTACCAAATTATGACCTGTGTATTATGATACCTTGTCTTATCCGACCAATTTGTTGGATTCCAAGGGTGTCAGAATAGACAGGTTTCACTCTGTCTATAGTCACAGTTAAGGTAATGGTACAGACTCATTGGAATACTTGTACTCCGTATACAGTGGTGTTCGCACAGCTGTTTTGGAGAGTACTGTATCACAAACTCTATATAAGCACACACAAAAACATTTTGTCAAAAAAAATGAAAATGGTACTGACCTCATTTATCCAGTATATGTTGTACATGATGTTGATAAAACTTTTTAGAGTACTTTTGGATATTTAGAGTTGTATGTATGTGGATAGTATGCCATTGTGTCTCTGCCAATGGCATCATTCTCACTGTACGGGGGAACAACTCTAGTAGTAATATAGGAGGCTAGCAAGAGTCTATTTAGTAAACTGACATAGAACAATAAACTACTGTATTTAATACATGGTTGACATAATAATGAAATAGAAATATTTAGTATAGTATGTGTATCTCTTAAGAGATTCTTTTTTGCTTTGAACGAGATATGAACCAATTATTTGGCCAATACTATTGTTGCTTGTGTGTGTCAGATGGCCATATTTAATGTCAATATTACAGTTTCTGGGAATGACAATGAATGACATATTCAATATACATAATCATCATATCTTTTAAAGATTTCCCTGACACCTCTACGATTTTACTCTTTTGCGTAAAAGCTATTAATTCTGTTATTTTTATTCTCTTCATGCACCAGTGAATCCACTGTAACATGGCTACATTTCTAAAATCACCATCAGATATCTTTTGTCCATTTAGTCCAGTATACCCAGACATAAACAGCTTGACTGGCTTGTGGGAGTATACATTGTTCTGATGATATGACTGTTTTGGGATGAATCTCTGCTTTACATAGATGGAATATTTAGTGTTTGGGTTAAGTAATATCTGCTTTACATAGACTGTTTGGGGATACTAAATCTCTGCTATGCATTGACTTTCAGGATAAAGAATCTCTGCTTGCGATAGATAATCTTTTCTCCATACTGACTGCCTCCGACAGATAATCTCTGCTGTACAATGTGACTGTTTAGCGGAGAGATACTTGACATTTCTGATGATTTTCTCTTCTGCTTGTTCCCTCACAGGTTTGGGGGCTTCAGGATCATAACTGTATGGTAAAGGTCTTCCAGTGAAAGCTTGCTTTTGGAATGATTTTCTCCAAATTCTCTCCAAATATTCTATTCTTCTGTACAAAATATACATACCATATTTATCACAGCCTTTTGAAACCTTTTTGTGAATTTCCGTTTGGTAGATGCTATAAGTTAGCCTTTTTTTTTTAACACATTCATATCTACCTGGTATATATTTAACTCTTGTGTATATTTCCTAATTTTTCTCAACAGAAGTTTTTCAATTTTTCTGTTATTGTGATTATCTCCCTTTGCTCCTGCATCTAGTTTTGATATTTGTCATGTTCAAAATCCCACGGTCCTAGTCTCTTAGTTGAGTTCCTTCCCTTTGGTCAACAAGACTGTCTGCTTTTTTTTCTTCTAAATTTTCACTGAAATTTATTTTTTCTTGAAAAAACAAATCCTGACTGTTTTAGACGCTGGGCCTGTTTTAGACGCTGGAGGCCCTATGCCATAGAGTACATAGCATTTTATCCACATTTTAAAACCTATAATCTGCACTTATCATATCATGCATGACCTTTACAATCATATATGCAAATTTTATACAAATATTTTCTAGTTATGCACTTAATTTCTCTGATTATTTTTTATTTTATCAGTGATTTTATTTCAGATTTTTTTCTACAGACCAAATGCATTTTTTTAAACCTCCTCTTTTAGACGAAGCACTAGATTAATATTTGACTTTCAGAACCATAATTCATAAGGTTGATCGGATGTTAGAAACTCTTCAACTTAAACAACTACCAAATTTCGCTTTTCAAGTCATTGCAAGAGTCAATATGATCTTTAGATAACTTCAATCGGAAAACAATTTCTCAGATGTCTGCAGATTTCTTTATTTTACCTGTTTTGAAGTGTGGTTTTGAATAAGACCGTCCCCACTAACCGTCATTCTCTGTAATATTTGACCAAATGGGAGTCCGTTTGATATTGCTTACCATAGAAAGCATGCTTTGAAAAATGGACTGAGAGGAATGAGAGGTGTCAAAAAGATGTCAATGTCAGACCAGGGACAAGATGACATGAATCAAGTACCAAAGACATTTAAACAAAACTCTGTTGAATTGAAATTGAGTTGAATAGTTGATGCAATTCGTTTCCAGTATTTTGCTCTTAGATAAGATTTTTTTTGAGTTGCCAGCACTTCTAACTGACATAGGTTTTGTACTTGTCAGATAGTGAACTTGACTAATTGATTTTTGTCCACAGCTAACACTGTCAGGGGGGAAACATCTAAGATTCACTTATACAGAACTCATTTGAGGTTTTTACTTTTAAATGGCAGAAAAAGAAGAGTATCATTGTGAGACCACTTTATTGGGGAATTAAGCGTCAGGTTGACTTTTTAACCTAACTAATGTCACTTCAGTATGTGCCGTTTTATGACATGACAGAGCAGATTTCTATTGAAGTGCATGTACCATTACAAAATGTCAAATGACCTTTCGAAGATGTGATCGCAGGCTTGAGGTGCAGTTATTTATTGCATCTGATGTGCCTCTGACCGAATCAACATCATTCAATAGAGTGTAATTTCTAATTAGTGGAAGGGATTGGCGTTTATATGGTCCGTGAACTTCTGATTCTGAACAAATCTAATTTTCACTAGAAAAATCTGCTTTTTTGTTGTCGCTTTCGGAGCGAATGAGTATTAACCACGCGTTTAAGTCATCCCTAGAATGTAATCTGTTAAATGTAATGTACAGTCTCCGATGTATCTTTAACTAGAGACATATTCTATGTGGGTGATCTCCAACCATTTTATCATATTTTTTACATCAATAATCTGGCATTTTTAACAAGTGATCCATTCCTATGAATGCCGGCGTTCCCTAAACAGCAGTCAAATGATGAGGCGGGGTTGTTGTATGCATGATACATGCATGTTGCTTTTGTGAGGCTTCCAACAGTTTGACCAGATCCTGTATTTGTATGGCATTCATTTCATGAGAGCTTGGGATTTTAGATAAGGAATTCTGTGTAATAATGTCTTGCAATATTGAATAAACGTATTGAGGTCCTGTATGAATTCAGCAAAATATATAATAAACTTAACCAAGGTCTGTAAGTGAACATGTTTTCATAAAAAATAGAAGCATATTGTAATTTTGTTTGATATATTCTTGAATTGCCACGTTTTTAAATGAAAGGTTTTATTGAAACAAATTCTGAGGTAAAATTATCAAAAATTATGCTTTATAATAAGAAAGAGGTGTTTTTGTTTCTGTATTTCAGGTTTTCTTCTTCACAAACGTTTCCAAGATAGTGTAACTAATGTGTTTGTTTACTTATTTACAGCTGTCCAAACTACATCAGCTGTCTCTAGGTCAAGCCATCCCGTTAATTCCACAGTCTCAAACGATAATGCCAGGTATGTTTATTCTGCAGTCTCAAACAATACTGCCAGTACCGGTATGTTAATTCTACAGTCTCATACAATATTGCCAGGTACATTAATTCCACAGTCTCATACAATACTGCCAGGTATGTTAATTCCACAGTCTCAAACAAAACTGCCAGGTACGTTAATTCCACAGTCTCATACAATATTGCCAGGTACGTTAATTCCACAGTCTCAAACGATACTGCCAGGTACGTTAATTCCACAGTCTCATACAATACTGCCAGGTACGTTAATTCCAGTCTCATACAATACTGCCAGGTACGTTAATTCCACAGTCTCGTACGATACTGCCAGGTACGTTAATTCCACAGTCTCAAACAATACTGCCAGGTACGTTAATTCCACAGTCTCAAACAATACTGCCAGGTACGTTAATTCCACAGTCTCATACAATACTGCCAGGTACGTTAATTCCACAGTCTCATACAATACTGCCAGGTACGTTAATTCCACAGTCTCATACAATACTGCCAGGTACGTTAATTCCACAGTCTCATACAATACTGCCAGGTACGTTAATTCCACAGTCTCATACAATACTGCCAGGTACGTTAATTCCACAGTCTCATACAATACTGCCAGGTACGTTAATTCCACAGTCTCATACAATACTGCCAGGTACGTTAATTCCACAGTCTCATACAATACTGCCAGGTACGTTAATTCCACAGTCTCATACAATACTGCCAGGTACGTTAATTCCACAGTCTCATACAATACTGCCAGGTACGTTAATTCCACAGTCTCATACAATACTGCCAGGTACGTTTATTCCACAGTCTCATACAATACTGCCAGGTACGTTAATTCCACAGTCTCATACAATAGCTAGGTACGTTAATTCCACAGTCTCAAACGATACTGCCAGGTACGTTAATTCCACAGTCTCATACAATAGCTAGGTACGTTAATTCCACAGTCTCGTACAATACTGCCAGGTACGTTAACTCCACAGTCTCATACAATAGCTAGGGACGTTAATTCCACAGTCTCAAACGATACTGCCAGGTACGTTAATTCCACAGTCTCATACAGTACTGCCGGGTACGTTAATTCCACAGTCTCAAACAATACTGCCAGGTATGTTAATTCCACAGTCTCATACAATACTGCCAGGTACGTTAATTCCCCAGTCTCATACAATACTGCCAGGTACGCTAATTCCACAGTCTCAAACGTTACTGCCAGGTACGTTAATTCTACAGTCTCATACAATACTGCCAGGTACGTTAATTCCGCTTTCTCAAATGATACTTTTTTACGTCAAAATATTTGTAACATCCCTGGAAACAAAACTTGAATCTCAAATCTCCAGTCATCCTTCTTAACTCTCATAAGGACAGAACTAGAAAATCCCAAATCTCCAGTCATCCTTCTTAACTCTCATAAGGACAGAACTAGAACATCCCAAATCTCCAGTCATCCTTCTTAACTCTCATAAGGACAGAACTAGAACATCCCAAATCTCCAGTCATCCTTCTTAACTCTCATAAGGACAGAACTAGAACATCCCAAATCTCCAGTCATCCTTCTTAACTCTCATAAGGACAGAACTAGAACATCCCAAATCTCCAGTCATCCTTCTTAACTCTCATAAGGACAGAACTAGAACATCCCAAATCTCCAGTCATCCTTCTTAACTCTCATAAGGACAGAACTAGAACATCCCAAATCTCCAGGCATGTGTCAACATCTAAAGACAAAACTGGGGCATCCACACCTCAGTCATCCTTGTAACATTATACTCGATATGATGAAATTTCCGTCACAATTTTCATTTCGCATTATTTGCTCTCCGTAATAAGGGTGAATTCATCATTACAGTGACTACTCATTAAACAACATAATCTTCATAGTAATTAAGTGTGAAGGGCAAATAAACAAAGTCAATAGATGTAAATGGTTAAACCAACACCTGGCCAATATATATTTACACACAAAAGGTGAAAGTTTGACTGAACGAAAAGTTCCTTGTATACAGTATTCGTACACATACCTTAGGGCAAAAAAAACATGTTTTGTAGAATATTTAAAAATAAAAACACTTGCTGTAAATCTTTTTCTGTAGTTTTCATGATTGCTCATAGTGTTATGAATCAAGAAACTTTGCTGTTGATGAAATTCTGGCTGACACCCCTTTTTCCATCTCAGTAGATCATCGTATGATACCCGCCATGACGGCACAAGGTATCCCAGCAATGGCGTATCAGCGACCAAACAACACGGCCATTCCAAACAGCCACCATCAACAACAGTCACACGAGATGGCCATTCCAAACGACTTGATTGGTTGTATCATTGGCCGAGGCGGACAGAAGATTAATGAAATCAGGTAGGATACCAAGTACCTTATTGTAGCAAACTTACAACATCTTCTGTTCTATACAGTGAATGGTGTGGAGGAGGGGGCGACAGAATATGTATTTGCAGGATGTTTTGGTCAGAAATATTTCGGTTTGAAGAGGCATTCCTGTGGAAAGAAAGCACTGGAATCTGTATAACTTGTGTGTAATTGTAATTCAACTTTCAGCCAGAGAGAAATGGCCGAAAATGTAATTCTAGTGTTTTCTTTTTGTTATTGTTTTACATAATAACTTTCAGACATGTGGTTCAATAACTTCTTGTAGCCATTAAAAATTGTGACATATTTTCTTTTCTGCGGAGGAGGTGAGGGTTTGGGTAGGGCTTTCAAAGTTACTCGAACCCTGCTGGACAAACAGGACACAGACGTTGCACAACTAGATATAAAGGAGACGTTCAGGAAAAAAATCCTTCCTTAATCATTACAACATCTTTTCTTCACAGACAAATGTCAGGAGCCATCATCAAGATCTCCAATGCGGAGGACGGAGCCGCGGACAGAAAGGTGACAATCACAGGCAGCCCAGAGACAATCGGCCTGGCCCAGTACCTCATCAACACCAGGTGTGTATATCACCAGCAAGTACAACAGCATCAGCTTTACTACTGACCCCGCCGGAGCTCGGCGGCCTGCCTAATGTAGCATGGTCGTACTACCGCGGCTGACGCATTAACTCCGTTATTGTACATTTTGTGCCACCAGTGTTTATTATTAATACAGTTGTTTTTTTTTCTGTATTTTCTTTTATATTTAACAACAGTATTTCTATCATTGTTATATAATAGTAGAAGTAGAAGAAATATCATCTTTTTTTTTATTTATTTTACTAATTACTGGACTTTGTAAACTTTCTCCCAAAACAGCTTTGCCTTTCTCTCTACCACTTATCCCATACATGTGTATCTATCACCAGCGGTTACATCTTCTCTCGCACATGTGTCTCCTTTTCATCGTCACATGTGTGTCTCCACTGTAATTTACCCTTCCACATGTATGTCTTGTACCATCTCCTGTATAATTTACCCGAACACATTTATCGAAGTTTTAATTCATTATCACATGCCTTCATACATGTATCTCCCCTATAATTCACCTTACATGTTTCCCCGTTGTAATTAGTCCCACACATTTATCTTTCGATGTTAATCACCTTCACACATACATTGTGATGCACCCTCACACATGTGTATATTTACTCATATGTACGCATCGATCAAAGTTTTCACAACGTTTTTGTTTCCGGGATGCAAAAAAATTGGTTAATCACTTTGGTATGAATTTTTGAAAAAAATACTTTTCTGGTTACCAATTTTTTTTCCGACAATTCCTTGACGCAAATAGAACTAAACAATTAACGACCCCTGAATAACCATTCTGTAACGTTCCTTTCCTTGAAACGGACCAGTTCTGTGTTGTATTCAGGGACCAATCTCTGTATGGAATTCTTAAAATAGTTCAATTTCTGAAAAATGAAAATCAACAAAATTAGAACCCAGACAACAGTCATTCTTAATTGAAAAAAACATTTAACCTTAAAACTGAATATTTGTTTTCTTTACTATTATACATATTTTTTCAAGAAAACTATCATCACTTGTGGCATCATGGTACATAGCTGTGTAGTTTTTGTGTATACATAATCAGTGTGTGTCTCAATAAGTCAAACAACAGTTGTTATTGTATTGTCGTAAAACGTATCGACCGAACCTAAATCAAAACATATTTTTTTGTAAATTGGATACCAAAGAAAAGATGCAATCAAGTTACTTACCTTTTTAGTATCTGGCAATCCAGCATCCATAAGTTGTTCATTTAAAATCTATGCATTTTTGTTGCCTTTGTTGAGAATAATTAAAACAACATGTAAAGTATGTTGTAAAATGTTAACCGATAGATATTAGTAAACCCTTTCAACCCTATGTAACTTTAGTAGACTCTGCCATGCATTGATCTGGATGAGTCCATTATAGTCTACAGTGGTGAAAGGGTTAATCATGAAAAAGACGAATAAAAAGTCAGTGATAAAAGGTTGAACTTACAACCAATATAGTTATTTATGTTAACTTATCTATCTATTAACTGCTTGCCATTTATTTATTGATGTCGTTTGGTAGACAATAAATACCAGGTGTCGTATACTACCTTGCAAGGCACAGTAAATGCTCTAGGTTGTGGTTGAAAATAAAACTAACATATCAGAATAAAGTTGGATATGTATGTGCCCGACTTCAGAGGAGCATATTTTCTGGTGTCGTCTTGTCCAGCTGTCGACAAATTTACAACTGTTCTGTATCTATGCGATGTCTAACCTTATCTTCAAAAACCTTTCTAAAGTTCTAGTTGGTAAAAGTTAGATGCCAAAGGTCAAGGTCACTGGATATAGATTCATTGAAGCTGATTGGCTGATAGTTTCCTGCTCTGTAACTTAATGATTTCTAAACCTCTTTTATGTATCGTATAGCATAAGCTGTCTAAGCCAGTCGCTGTCTCATCTGGTACTTAGCAAGAGGTAGACGTCTCAATTTTCTTGGTCATTCTGTGAAAGGTCAGGATGGTTCTGTGGTCTGTATATAAAATTGCACACCTTTACAAAAGTTTCGTATATAAAATCATACATTTCTTAAATTTATTCCACGTAAGGCATAGCTTTGATATAACCATGCTTATGATATATAAAAAAAAGTTCCTTAAAACACTATTTTAACCATCTTTTGGGGTATTTTTATGACTAGGAATGTCATCACATGATTCATTTGCATTTCATGCAGACCTGCATACTATAGGAATTTTAACACACAGTGTTACAGGAAGTCATAAGGAGAATTATGATACTCTGCTTCCTTTAGTTTCTAATTTTGTTCACCAAAATAAATAAACTGAACAAACCAAGTATAAATTTAATTCTATTACATGTTAACTCGATTATTATTTTTTTGCAATTTTCTGTTCTATCAAAGATGCAATGTCATTTTAATGCATGTTTTTCAAAGGTTGAAGCGAGATTATTTACCACAAGTCTGTAGATTGTCTTCACTGCACTGTCATGTTATTATTATTTTTACGGCTTTGTTGGAGAAAACTCTGAAATTCTCATCTGATATAGCATTTGATAAAATAACATTGTGTCTTTGACTGCAGTTTTCTAACCATTGTACTTTTTTTTTTACTTTTTTTTCCATTTCTTGTTGATATTTTCATTTATCTTACTAATCAAGATATCTTTGAATGCATACAAACATGTTCTTGTTCCAGCAAGCTATCGAAATAGTATAGCTTTCTCATTAAAACAGAACTGTCACTTCCATCTCATGTAAAAATGACCTGGAAAAGGTACCATAACTGCACTCGGTGAAATCATTAAGAAATCGGACAACAAAGTGGGAGGTTTTTGGACAGTCATGGGGTAGAAAGATTCCAGTGGAATTACCCCCACCCCCTCCCCTTCACAAGCCCTCCCCAATCTTGCTTGACAACCTTTCATGCTTAGCTGTCCTCTCTTTCTTGACATCTAATCCTTATTCCTAATCACTAACATAATAGGTCAATCACGTTGACAGGATTAATGAGAATTTTGAATAAGAAAATGAATCAATTTGTGTTTTTCTGTTTACATTTCATTTTCAGACTATTTTGTGTGAACAGAGCATTGGATGAATTGAAATAAAATTTGAAGCAAAGACTTGAATTCTTTCTTTATTTTTTTTCCAGTTTGAAAATCATCTTTTTTTGTTTTCATCCTTTATTTTGTTTTTCCATCAATATTTCAATCTGAAGCTGTAATGAAGTAAACGTCTGTCACCGTCTTCTGTACTCTCCAAGACAATTAAGTGTTTTGAACCAGTTTTCTTTTTCTAAGTTGGTTACATTACATGCAATGTTAAAAATGTAAGACGACATAAGTTAGCTTATACTTCAGTAGAGAATGAGGAATCTTGTTTTTAACTGTCACTGCTTACAAATGCTTCAGCTAATGTTACCAAGGGCTTTTAAAATCACAGTTGCTATATAATGGGGTCACAATTTAACACTAACCTCGGAACATCACATTTGACTATTTCAAATGTCGACCTCACAATGCCCCGTTCAATATGTAGAGAGATTTTTTTCTGCACATTTCCTCACTTTTTCACGAAATTCACTTCACAATCATTGGCACACACTTAAAGATGAACTCTTGCGTCACTGTGTTTCGTTACCATCCTTTTCTGTCTGTTGTTTTTCAGAATGACTTAGGGACTTTGTCCTATTAGATGCTTATATATGTTGTATTTGTTTTATCCAACATCACGTGATATATACAATATCATAGGTGTATTGATTCCTCAAACTTTATTATTTACGTTCAACAAACCAATATATATTTTAACACTCGTTACGTACAATATAATTTTGGCATTAACTAACGATGTAAAATGGGTCAAGCAAGAAACACCAAAGCACGCATACAAATTCTTTACAAGGATTAAGAACTTTTCCTTCAATCCCTAATTTCTCCCATTATTTTCCCTTCATCCTTTTAATTAGACAAACCTTAAAAATGAAAAACATGCCCTCAGAAAATTTAGAACCAAAATTGCAAAAAGAATAGAAGCATTTCAAAAGCAGTCCTTTTTAATTTATTTTACTTTTTGATCAAATTCCTTTTTGGACATTTTCCTGTAACATTTTTCTCCCAACCAAACCTAACCCAGAATGCATGTTGACGGATGTTGCATGACTACGGTGTTTCTTGTTTCTGACATTTGTTAACTGTGCCTATGTGACCAGCGTAGACATTATTTGCCTGGTATGTGGATTGTTAATTCCAAATCTAATACTTTTTCCCTCCCTTTTTTTTTCTCTGCAGCATGGAAATGCATAAGAATTTGACCCTTGACCCGACAACCTCGACCCCTACATCTTCTGCAACCTTGACCTCTGTTCAGTCCCATCATGCTCCCTTGGCAATTCCGCTGAATCAGCTAGCCATGAAGCCGATGCCTTTACTCGGACTAAACATTGGGATGATGGACTCTGCTGCTGCGGCAGCCGCTGCAAATCAGAAAAATTTCACAGCCAAAATGCGGGTTGGGGTCGCCACGAATGCACTGAGGGGTGACCGAATGAAATTCGCTCCTTACTAACCTCAAATTGTTAAACTTGGCATAGCACCTTCAAGTGGTCGGCCATAAGTTAAAGAATGGCTTGGAACCATCGTATGGCCAGCCGCCAAAACATCATGACCGATCATGAATACCATCATTTTGTGATGTTATATAAATATTTATATATAAATTTATATATATATATATTGACATGTCTCAGTGGCAGTTACCATAGTAACAGCTTGGTGTATATATATTACACAGATACGGCTGTGGTTTTACGAGTCGACGCGTCATATTTTACTCCGAGGAAAGTCCATGTAGTAGTCTTGCTGACCAAAATGTACCAATCACTGTCTCATTCTCAGATTTTATTGTTGGAGGTGGAGCACTGTGATAGTAAATGTCCAGCTCAATTTTCTGTCACCCTTTTTTTTGTTTTTTTGATATGTTGTATTTTACCCAATCCCAAGGTCCCACACCACCAATGTTTAGTTATCACACTCCACATTTTCACGATGGACATTTCCCAAACTGTGATATGGATAAAATCATGTTTTTAGGAGGAGGCGTATAGTTAATTTAGTCACCACCAAATCATTCCTCATATATACTTCTTTAATTTCAGGAAATTGAATATTCAAGTTTAAAGCTTTTACCTTATTTTATGCAATCAGATTTTTGTAAATATGCGAATTTGATTTCTTTTTCATATTGGATATGCGACTTGGTTTTATAGAAATATTTTAACATCGGAAACATTTTGTATGTAAGAAATTATTCATAAAAGTCTTTTTTAAGTCAACATTCCCACAATAATATGTTCAATCAGATGACTTTTTACTAAATCATTCAGTGAAAAGGATTGCTACATGTTTTTTGTACAAAGAATTTTTCAAATTTATAAAAATAAAATATATCCAATCAGAAAGACTGTAACATATCAACCAATAGGATCTCCTCGTGTGTCCTCGCGTGCCCAGGGCATTAGTAGTGGCTACAATATGGACTTTCTGCGGGGAAAGGTATTTATAAATTATACATGATCCATAGAATGTTAAAAGAAGATGATTTGTATCTTAATTTTTTTAATTGGTTGTTTAGAAATTATTCAAAACTTGAACTACTTAACTCTGTTCATCCTAAATCCTTTTTGTCAAATTGTTATCAGTTTCTTATTTATTTATTTTTTGCTAAAATGTTGTTAAAATTTTGAGAACTCCACTGAGATAGTCTGTATTTTTTTGAGCCAAAGTGACGTTGATAGTGATACATATGAGTAAGGTTAACTTCTTTCATTGTTAAAGATATGTGTTAATTTGGTCAGTGTATCGTCACTCAAATTAGTCATTTTTTAATTCTGTGTCTAGCAGATTTTATAGATAGTTATTTTTCAGTATTAATTTGGTGTCTTTATTATTATTATTATTATTATAATTACCATTGATGATAATTTATGATTGGATAACTACAGTATGGTGCAGTTATGGTATCCTAAGTGAGTGTACTTAATGAGAATGGGAAGGTGATAAATATTGTGTAAATGAAAAAAAAAGGCTACACTTGTTGTTTCATAATTCTGAGATATTAACAAGATTATCAATGTATAATTTTCTAGTATAGCCCATGTGATGACATTCCGATTACATATCGATTAAAAATATCCCCATCCCCCCATAATTATCTTTACAGGGTACTTAGCTCGTTAGAAGCTTGTACTGTTTCTAGATATACCTTTTTGCCAAGGATTGTCTCATGGGGATTATCAAGTCAAAACAATGACTGTCATAAGGCAATACTGTCTGTCCAAAAATAACCTTACCTAAAATAAAAAATTCTTGAAAATTACAAAATTTATTCAGAATTTAATTGGAAACAATTTTTCAGTTTGTTGCATGGAAAAAACAAATTTCAGAGAATAAAATTTCGTTAAAAATTCATGAAACCTTTTTTATTACTTAAATAAAAAAATAAAAAATAAAAAAATGTCAATAGTTTAACTTGATTAATTTTTTGTGTGTTGCAAAATTGTATTGATTCCATACAGGTTGTGTTTCCTATTGTGAGGTGTGGCCCGCCGTGCTAACAAACTTGAGAGACTTAATGCCTCAGACAGCCCATTGCTTTGACTTGTTAGCACCATCTGGCATGTCTATATATATATACGTGTACCCATAGTGTGTTGCTGTACTTCCGTAGTTGTTAAGGTCCCGTATTACTAGATTGCAATATATCGCCCTCGTAATTTGTTTTTATTTTAGGTTTTTTTTCCCATTAAGAATATGTGTATGTATATATATATAGAAATTATATACATTATATAGATATATAATATATATATGATACTATTTGAATTGTTCCTTAAAGATTGTACGTACCTCTTAGAAATGAAATGATTTTAAATACAGTTATAATCATTTACAATCATAGTCCTCATTTGCATAATTTACATTTTGCAATATAGTTACGTTTGCAATATAACTCTTTAAATTGTTGGTGTTAATTTGTTGCCCGTATATTGTGTAAGGAAGCAGCGTAAGGTTTTGACCCTTGTGTCACCCCTAATACTTAACAATTTATTGAGAAGTGTTCTAAAGCTGTTATATTTCTTCATGAAATTTCTCTTGCTTTTCATCATAGAATTTGCTCTCTTGTTTATTGTAGATAAGCTCCAATTAAGCTGTGTACTTGTGCGATCATTTAAAAAAAAAAAAACGACAGCTCGTTCCATGAAGGGTTTGCTATGCTTAGATAATTTTCAATCCCACTTGCTAATATGCTGTCGTAAAAACCTCTTCTGTTTGTTTTTTTGTCCTCTAAGATATTGTTCGTAGAAAATCGGTCATGCACTTGACACCGTTACTAATGAGTTATCTCCCCACTTCGTTACTTTTTAGGATCACGACGGAGATGTGTGGATTGGGAATACGCTAGAGTTGCGTGTGCTATGAGGACCATGTTAACGTGATATTGACCTTCAAACACGGCTCTACCGTATCACTACATTATAGAGAGTTCTCTGTGACCTTGGTGCTGTGACCTTTGACCTCCATCATCTAGTGGTCAAATCAAGTATGAAACAACATCAATGTATCAATGTGTACCTGTCCATGTAATACAGCTTTCTTTTAACATGATTCCATAATTTATACTGCTATTTGAATATATTTACTTCAAATTCACTTAACATTGCAAAAGTGCTATTGTGTGTACTATTTTGTTTTGAATGAAAATCAAAAGACCAAACTGATCCTCACAAGATTTTGTGTAGAGTGATTCTTGCAATGTACAAAATATTTTGGCTGTGGAAACAGGAAGTGACATCATAGGTCAGGTGACATCACGGAGAACTCTCTATATAAAACCGATTGTTTTAATGGCACTTGTAGTAGCAAAGGTTTGATCATGTATACACTACAATTATCTTTTCATTTTTATCTGCGCTTCCGATATATATACTGTGTGTTTTTAATATATATATAAAAAAAAAGCTAGCTATGGTGTGAATTGAACTTGTCGGATTGTTTGTGACCTGCTGTCATAATATAATATGTCATTATCCATGCGTATTCTTTTAGCTGCAGAAACAGCTCTGGGATAGCCCTCCCCTAGGCTAGGATGATATACCACTTAACTGATCATAGTTCCCAATACCAGTAGATTCTCTACACTATTCCAGCTATGTAAAATTAAAATCCAGTGTTTCTTTCTTGGTCAGAAGATGTTTTAATCTCCAATATTGATGTCTATCCAGTGTTTTAGAAATAATTTCCCTTTAAGAACATTTTGAAAGAAAGGTTATAATGGTAATAACATGTCTTGTTTTCCATTTAGTAGCTGTCCCATTTAACCAATGGCTTAAAAACACCTGAAGTCCCCCCTATTCTTGCCTTTGTGATGGAACTAATGCTTGGATTGTTTAAGTTATGATCTATGCATGCCCTACATCATGTTGTTACACACAGTTCCATACCTGTACAGTCACATAAAAATACCTCAGAATTCTAGTCAAGACTCACAGGGAACACTTAGTGATACAACCAGAATTGTCTCCCTTGTATTACCACTCTTTCATCGTTTCTCCGTTAGCTTAATCATTATGCTCAATATTATTATTATATTGTAATCATATATTTTTTATCACGTTAGATAATTTATAATTCTTGCCAAAAAGTTTTATTTTACTTCCATTCAGCTCAACCAAACTTAAATCCTTCGACTTTCACTCGTTAGACTATTCAGTTACTATCACTCTGATTTATCTGCGATGAGGGCCTATGTATAGATTGTATTTATACACAAATATATTTAGAACACTGATGTTATTGTTAGCATTATTATGTGATATCCTGGAATATTGAACACTATCAGAATTGGCAATTTATTACATGGTTTATAATGGAATTATCTATTTTTTTCTGGCATTTGCCTACATTTGTAAATATTTTAGATTTAGTGAGAGAGAGAAAAGAGAAGAAAAAACAACTTATGATGAAATATTAAACCTTTGTGCTTTATTTAAATATTATTGTTCAGTAGTTTCTTCAATGTTTTCATCATCATGGCATCTGCACTTTGAGATAAGATGAGAGAATAAAAGGAATAAACTATTTTTTTGGAATGTTTATACATATTATGTAATACAGAAAAAAACATTTTTTTAAATCTCTGTTAAGTAATTTTCTATTGTTCGCCAAGCATATGCCAGTCAGTTTTTATTCAAATATCAAATCTTAGTCATGTGACCTACCCTTGAACCCCATGAGCGTGGACACAAGTGTCACCTATTTATGGCTATACCAACTGTTTTATCTCTCTATCTTTGACCCTGTGAAAATGCACTTATATCGCTGAATGTGGCATGACAAAACAAATCACCTCTGATAGTGTGCAGTTCTTTAAGCCTTAGATATTTAGTTGTGGTAAAAAAAAGCTCCAGTTAAAATGTGTACATGTAATATTTAATCGCCCAATGGTAAAAAACTGTTCAGTTAGGGCATCTACGCAAACCGAATCTTCCATCTAGCGTCAGTTTCCTGTATACATGATCAAGCCATCTGTCATTGGTTAATTTCTAAACCAGGTGATCTCATTTGCATATTCCCAGGCAAAAGGTTAAGTTGTGCGCATCCAAGATATGTACATCTCTTAAAGGCATGACCGGTTTAGGGTATAAGCTCAGGGTACAAATTGTTATGATTCATTTGTTCAAACTGCAGGTATACATATATGATTATTCTTTCTCTTTTTTTTTTATTATTATTATGATGAAATTCCTTTCTTTCATTTTTTCACAACTTGATTCCAAAGGGTGCTAAGTAGGGAAGATCTGTTAATATTGCTTAAGTGTTCATAATCGTCGGTGTCAATATGATTCTATATTTGAAACGTTCATAAAGGTAGCTACGAATATCTTTAAATATTTTTTTATTTTTGTCATATGCACAAATTCTTTACTTCAGTAGTATGAAAACAGCGTCAGAGTCATTGTTACGTAAACAATATTTGTCGCCTATTCTCTAGGTTTTAACCTCAACAGATTTATTAAGCCAAAATATTTATATTTGTCTGATAATTAAAGTATATTTGTTATATTAGGTTTAACACATTTGTATGATTTCCTGCCAAAAAAATAATACTATGAAAAAATACTCGTATGGGGGCTCTGGCAAAGGGAGACAATTCATTGTCAATTACAGTTTTAAAAACTTTTTTGTTTCAAAAAATTAATTACAATTAAGTTCTAGTTTAGTTAATAAGGAGAGAGATTTTTGGCATTATGAGAAACAAAATGTTATAATTTTGAGTTTCGATAAGAAGCCCTGCGTGGAGCCCCGCTGTGATCTATAAATACACAATATACATATCAGTGTTAGAGTGGCAGAGCACCTCTACAGTTCCTAGGACAATGAAGAGACGTAAATTTGTTGTTGAAATGATGATGAACGTGTTCAGTAATACTTTTGTAAGCAATCAGTAAAACATATTACTTTGTTTTTTTGTTATTGTTAACACGTAAAGGATGTAAAAAAGACCGAGTTGGAGAACGTTGTTGTGTTGTTGTGATGTCCACATATTCAGAGCGTGTCTCATAACATTATGTGATTGGCGAAGTGCAAACTCTTATTTCATATAATGACTTCATTCATGATCACCTGTGCGTTTGTGTTTGAGACATCATAGTCACAGAAACATTTTGCATCTGTGGCATTCTTTAATTGACTTACTTGTTGAAGCAAGTACATGATGGACTGAGATCATTGTGATTTAGTCATACATGCCAATAAGTATGTCTTCTTTGTCAGACGATACAGAGCTCCTAACTAGATATGTAAAGCATTTCCATAGTGGGCAGGGAGTGGTTGGTTGATTGTTATATGTAATATGTCCACAGAAGAAAATGTTGACTTTTGTAAATGATAAAGCATTAGTACATCATATCCACCCTAGATGTAGATATTGTGCTAACACCGATATCCTGACCTGGACGCTTGGTCTAGCGTATCTGGACAACTCGGTCTATTCATGCCGGCTCCTATCAGGCTGGTATCGGTTGGAACTATTTATGGAAGTTGCAGTGTACTTGTAGTGCTGTTTGGGAAGTACATGTTATGTTGTATCAATGTCTCAAAAAGTTCTGTATCTTCTGGCCAAGGTTTTGTCATTGCCGTGGATATGGTTGTGGAGAAACATATTCTAAGCGAAAGTTTCCTGACTTTATCAATTTATTCTACTGACGAATGAACATCATGCTTCTTTTGCTACTGTCAAAACTGGAAACTGTAACAAGATCAACTTAAAGACTGGTACATATAGCAAATTTATTTATGTCATAATATTTAGAAATATCATGTAATTGACAAGACTAAGTGTATTGTCCTGAAACTTACTCTATGAAATGGTGTTTCTCCATTCCCATATCCACAGCAGTGGCTCATTTTGTCTAGATTTGGCACTAGTTGTTTTCTTATCATATTTTATATTTAATTTTGAGGGTTTTTTGTCATACAATTGTAATGTATTAATGATTGATTTGTTGACAATGGAAAGTTCAAAAAGATTTTTTCTTTTCACTATCGTCACTTAAATAAATATGATGGTTGTAATTTAAATATATACATTTATTATAATGATATTTTTGATAGCCTCTCACCCCTTGTGTTTGGAATAGTATGATCCGAACGATGAATAGACTTGTCTATTATAACTGGTAGGGGGTGACAGGTCATCAGGAACTGTTGCAGGCCACAAAGAGTGGAGCATGAGTGTTGGATATGTAGTCTGTATCGCCATAGCGACAGTAAATTTCTGTAACGCCGTGGCGACAGTAAATCTTGTACAAGCTGTATAAAAGTGTTGCCAAACTCATGAGAAAATATTAATAAAGATTTGGATTATTTAATTTATACAAGTGTTATTTTCATTCATTTATCAGTATATGTGTGGTCGAGAAGTGCCAATACTCAAAACACTGGTCTGATTGGGGGGAAAAAGTCCAGCAGGATTAGACCAGAATCAAACACCAGACTGCAAGTTGATATACTATTGCTTTAACCAGCTCAGCTTCCTGGTCGACCGAAGTGGCCTGGCCTAACTGTGCTACAGTTAATAACCACAATGATCAGTCTATATCCCATAAAATCTTGGAAAGTTTGTTTAGTACAACAAATTATGGTGGATATGATGCAATATGAATCTGAAAAAAGTTATATATTTACCAAGACAAAGCAGAGGTAAATATATCAATTTTTTTGGAATCATATCGCATCATATTTACCATCAACAATAAAAAGTGTTTTAATTGCATTATTGAACAAATCCATATAGAAATGACATTGAAAATAACAAAACGCATCTTCAACGATTTAAACGTCTATTTACGAAAAAAATCCAATGTTTTGTATGACAAATGTGAAGAGGGTTCTCCAAAAGTCTATATTTAACTTTTCTGATAAATGATCAATGGGATAGCGAAAAATAATCAACCATACAATATCGATACTATTTCTATTTCTATTGTACGGCCTAAACCAACACTTTGAATCTATTTCCCATGAATGTTTTCCAATCAGAATCTCTCGGGTCTTTCCTTCATCATGCGTGACGTCACATTCCCGAATGGTTGCTGATTGGTGTTTGTCACCTGGCAGAACCGGAAAAAACTACGTTTAACTCATTCACCCCTGAAGATACATTTCAACTTTTCCAATTCAAAGCTTGGAATAGTCAATTATGAAATTTCATGGGTGAATGAGTTAAAAGACAAAATACAAGTTTCTTTGTTGATTTGAAAGTAAATATAAGGATTATGATGGTAATGGAAAACAGTTCTGTTGAAACCTATTTTCAAAAATGACTTATCACTCATGAAATATATTTGAATGGAACTGTGTTGCTTGCCTATTTAAGTATCTAAAAGATGCATTCTAATCCTTAAATTATGTCAAAAAGTTGCCGTGTATACAATAAGGATATTACTGGTTTGTTATATATTCAAAATATATATCGGAAGTTTGTTATGTATAGGTAATGATGCAAGAAGTTGCTATGTAAACAATAATTACACTTCTGTGTGGAATAGAAGCTTAACAAGATTGCTAGGTATTGTTTTCTTGATGAATAAAAGTTATATTTAACAAGGGGGAAAATCGTTAAAATATTTTTCATTAGATTATGAAAAATAATCAATTCCTAAAAAATAACTCATTCATCAAAAAGCCAAGGATATCGTGTATTATTTAAATAACGCTTTTGGTACAAATCAACGTCATTGGTGCAACAGTGTTAATTGATACAAGATCAGTATTTATCATAAACATAACAGCGCTTATTGTTACAAGATCAGAATTTATCATAAACATACCAGCACTTATTGGTACAAGATCAGTATTTATCATAAACATAACGGCGCTTATTGTTACAAGATCAGAATTTATCATAAACATACCAGCACTTATTGGTACAAGATCAGTATTTATCATAAACATAACAGCGCTTATTGGTCCAAGATCAGTATTTATCATAAACATAACAGTGCTTATTGGTACAAAATCAGTATTTATCGTAAACATAACAGCACTTATTGGTACAAAATCAGTATTTATCATAAACATAACAGCGTTTATTGGTACAAGATCAGTATTATCATAAACATAACAGCGCTTATTGGTACAAGATCAGTATTTATCATAAACATAACAGTGCTTATTGTTTACAAGATCAGTATTTATCATAAACATAACAGTGCTTATTGGTAAAAGATCAGTATTTATCATAAACATAACAGTGCTTATTGGTACAAGATCAGTATTTATAATAAACATAACTGCTTTTTAGCTCACCTGGTCCGAAGGACCAAGGTGAGCTTATGCCATACCGTGGCGTCCGTCGTCCGTCCGTCGTCTGTCCGTACGTCCGTCCGTACGTCAACAATTTCTTTAAACGACTTCTTCTTCTTAACCACTGGTTGGAATTAAACTAAATTTGACTGGAAGCATCCCTATGTGGTGGGGATTCAAAATTGTACAAATGGTGGGGCTGACCCCCCAGGGGGCTGAGGGGCGGGGCCAAAAGGGGTCAATTTGCCCATATTGCTTTAAGCGACTTCTTCTCTGAAACTAAGAAGTGGATATCAACCATATTTGACTGGAAGCATCCCT